GAAATCTTCATCAACATGTGTTGTTCCTTTATTACACTGTTGCTGCATGAGTATTTTTCAGAGTTTATTATATTTGCTACATATGCCTCCCCCCCCCCAACTCAAGAATATAAATTTGTTATCTTTGTACTTTGTTTGATACTACTACTATTTATTATTATTATCATCATCATCAAAATATTGCTAGTCTGCTAATTTTTTTCAATTAATACATAATTATATGAACAAAAGAACAACAAAGAATGGAGAAATCATATGAAACCAATTTATGGGCACACAACATTACATGATTCAGTAAGCCACAATATTGTAAACTACAGTTTAGAATGGTGCCAGGTGGAGAAGATTGAAAAATGTTAGTTACTTGCTACATGACTACTCATACAGAAGTGACAATTCCGACGTAAAATGCTACCTGCTGATTTGGGACAATTGACTCTGAAGAAGTGATGATTTCCCCAAAGTATTCTGTCTCCGTGATGCAGAGGAATCCTCTCAGTGACAGGCAGACCATTGACATATGACCGAGCATTTTGGAGGGGTTCCATGAATAGTCCACCATCCTCTATAGCTATAACACAATGCTCTGGCTGAATTCCAAGCCCTGAGAGCTGAATATCCTGCTCCATAGGCGCTTCTCGCCCTCCTACGAAAGTTCGTTCCTGTGCACACAAAAACAACAGAGTTTATGAGATGATAATGTTGCGTCATATTGTGTTGAATATATACTTGCTCAATTTTATTAGTCTAATCACAATAAAATATTATAATTAAATGTTAAAATATTATTACAATTAACATTTAAATATTTAAAATATATATATTAAAATGATGCTCTCATCGAAATGTTCGATTCACATTAGAGCATCACCTTTTACACTACATGTTTCAGTTCTAAATGAACCATCTTCAGGTGTATAATCCATATAAACTGAAATGTAATATCCTAAGTGCAATCCTTCGTCAGATGTCCATCAAATATCAGAAAGTTTTCCTCTTCCAGACCAGAGCAAGAACAGAGTTTATATTACTTGAGTGAAGTTTCAAATATCTTTCGGTAGCTACATAATTTCTTTCAGAGAGCAGAATGCACTGTAAAGAATATGATGAACTGAGTTAGAGTGTGTATGTCACGAAGTAAAATCCCAGGATCAAATCACAATATAACAATAGCCATAAATGCTTTTAAAGTGTATCAAAGTTCAATACTTCAGAATGACAGTAAAAAATAAAAACTGTATTACTAATTAAATTACCATTCATTTCAGAACCTTTCAGAACAATTCTACCCATGCTCTTACATGGATGTCAAAACCTTAAATCTTTCACTCTAACAGAAGAAGACATTGACAGTAATAACAAACAAATCCTGAGGAGAGGTATTCTAAATAAGAAAAGCGAAGATTTTATGTTCACAGCAAAAATCTATAACTACACAAATTAAGATGCAAATTCTGGAATCCCCCACAATACACTTTGAGAATTATGTTAAATACCTTAAGATAGTAGACTAGCAGTTCATTGAGTGATGGATCAGCATTTAGGTTAACCAGGTAGTACTTATTCTTCTCCACTTTTATGCCTGATGCTTGCACACTGATTCCCATCTTCTCAAGTGCCTGCTGTCTCTCGTGCTGGAGGCGTTCTGAACAAATAACAATATATTTTTTCCTCTAATAAAGGCTCCACAAATCCTTGCCCCTACACTGTCACGGCGGACCTTACACTATAAATGTCTTGTTTAAATCGTCTGAGTACCACAGGCAATTTAATTTAATGATCACCTCCTTCCAAATCCTTAAATGCTAACCGTTCATGGTCACCTTGCAGTCTCATTATATACTATATATTATAATAAATAACTTATGCGTATGAAATAGCATCATTAATAACCCAAAAATCAGTTTATGTATTTAATACACACACACACACATATGCATGATACAAAAAGTTCAGGTATCACTGATAACTTTTTATTTGCAACAGTAAACAAAACACAAACTAACTTTTAAGAATGATTTTTGCCTTGGAGTCTTAACTGAATGCTAATGTGAATAACAGTTCCTGCATAAACCAACTGGAAATTAAGAGGTAAAATATCCTGAACTTTGGTTGGTACTTTCAAGGAGTTAAGATATGCACTAAACCCAAATTGGGTTGGGTCATATTGATACTTCATAATACGCAGTTGTACAACGAATGAAAATTGTAAAGACACATTAATGGGTGCAAAACTTTTACTTGTGTCAAAATTTTAAGGGTTTAATTCGTTTTATTTTGGAGTTACTATGAATTATACATGCATTAAGAGAAAGTAAAAACTGTGCAAATAAAATTTTATTAATACTGTCAAATCACCAAATTCAAATTCTATATGGGCCATACTTTGCTCATCCCTCTTCCATAGGATAAGAAAAATTATATCACATTCATGTCAAACAACTCACCTGTTTTCTGAAGCTTCTCTTCCCACGTCTGTGACATCTCTTTCATCAACTTTTCACTTTCACTCAGCTTTTCTGTGAGATCCACCCGTTGCTGTAACATAGTCACATTGGCCCAGTATTACACAATGTGAGATTCTGCATTTAACACTTGCTGTGAGAGAAACTGGTAACCTTGAAAATAAGGCAAAAGACCAAGTTCGTCATGTACGAGGTGCGATCGGAAAGTTTCTATACTGCGTCTATAAAAACCCGTACACTTATCTCAGGTATTAAATTCATCCATCACCCTCGAAGTAGTTCCCCTGGGAGTGAACACAACGATCCCAGCGCTGCTGCCAAGCCTGGAAGCATCCCTGGAAATCTTTCTTTGTCAGCCTGTCAAGCACCATCTGCGATTCTGCCTGAATCTCTTCTATCGTCTCAAATCTCCTTCCCTTTAGCTGAATTTTCATCTTTGGGAAGAGGAAGAAGGCACACGGAGCTTAGAAAGGAAGTTGGGGTCGGTTCTTGCAAGATCTTGGAGCTCCTGACAAACGAGAAGTCGATTCTGCTTCTGGTCCTAAGACAGGAGCCTTGGCACAAACTTGGCTGCGATGCGTCGCATGTGGAGTTCTTCCTTTAGAATCAGCTGACAGGTCCCATAGCCTATCCCAAAAATGTCGCACAAGTCGTTGATGGTACGACGTCGATCTTCGTAACAGTTTCGGGCGTTGTGCTCGAAGATGGTCGTCCAGAACGCTTGATTTGTTCATGAAAATCCGCCATTCCGAAATCGCAGGAGGGTCGGTGTAATGCACTACCAAAACGCCCGTAACTAAGAAACAAATGCTAATTCGATGATGCCGGCTGGCACACTGATTCACTATGAATGTAGGCCGCACCCCCTAAAGGCAGAAGCTCGTACTACATCCGGTTCGCCCGCTATTCACACAGTCTGGAAACTTTCCGATCGCACCTCGTATATACTTCCAGATTTTTCAATAACATGTACTGTGTGAAGTCAGCCAGTCAGCCGCCTATAGAACCATCAGCTATTGACATTTAACAAGAAATAATGAGTAAGTTGATAGAGCATGCACTTGGAATATACCCAGTTCAAACCCCATCCACATTACTAACTTGACAAAAATTTCTCATTGTTTTCGTAACACTTTGAGCTGAATGCAGAAACATAACTCTGAAATTGACCATAACAGCCTCAAAATCTTCATCTATTTACCATTCATAATTACCTCCTTAACTCATTCAGTGCTATATGATTGCCATCACAACAGCTTTGATAAATAACCTAATATTAATACAGTCTTAAAAAAAAAGGAGAGAATAACAAACACTCAAATTTGGTGTAGCACAAAGGTTGGTTCTTTGCACTTAAGGTGAGTAGTGCATAAACCACAGAAGTATGAAACTGCCTTCTTAATCGAACATGTTAACACAGATATACATAATTAAATTAACGTAACTCAGTACACTGCTCACCTCTTTATGACCTTCTGATGCTGTTGCATTTTTAAGCATCTCCTTCAGAGCTTCAACTTCTTGTCTAAGTTCTCTGATAATCCTTGCATTTGGATCTTCATTAACAACTGCATGGTTGACAATACGTTTGGCTCTGTCTGCATATCGTAAAGTAGATAAAGTTTCTTCATAGTTGTCCGCTGCAGGAGAAATTGTTGCTACCATCACAGTCTTGCTGTTACCTCCAAGATTGTCCTTTACGATGACAACATTAATAATTAGGTAAACACATGACATGAAAATTAAAAACATAAACAGCACAGAACATTCTCAAGCATAAATACAAATATCCTTCCTTGTTTCTTTCATTGCTCCACTTAATGGTACCTGCACCTTGTCGCGGTGGGGGGGGGCTTGAATACCTCAGTGACCCCAAGAGCTACTGGTAGGGCCTCCCTAGCCAGACTTGGTCGAGGGGGAGAGGTCAGACTAAGACAGGTACCCTGGGCATCCAGGTTGGGGGTTGGTCGCAAGGCTAACAACCTTTCACCGTAAAAAGGAAGATGTTTCGAAACCTCAATCAAAGCCTCGGACAGACGGACCTAACAGAGGACCGAATGGAAGAGGAGAATTGAGGAGGCCATGAACCGAATACGGACCGGAGAGCCATAGAAGAAGAAGAAGAATAAGTTTCTTTCATTGTAGAGAAATGTTTTTACAGCCAAGATTAACTAACGTTACACTCATACAATGTAGAGCCTTAACATTTCAAATATCAAACACAAAATCCATCTTCAGAAAAATAACTCTACCAAATTTAAAATCATGGAATCAAGTCATACAGATATCACCTTGGACTAACCCCTGGGAATTTTATTTGTATACATACAAAAAGTTTTTACTCATTACAAGTGTCCACATGGGGTAGTCACATTATTTCATCGACAGCTAAAAACTAAAAAATGTTAACCATACTTCCTGATTGTCCACTCTAAACTATTAATGTACCTTTAATTAAAACAGATATTCCTGATTGTTTATCAACTGACAATACATCATTTTAATCACTTATAAAAAGAGTGATAAAGTTAAACTTGAACTACACTACGGCACAGACAGAGACAAAATTTAAATTCACTCAACAATTTCCATTACATACTTCCCAATACCAAATATCATCAAATTCCATGAAATAATTCTGGTGGTGAAACACGTGGTAGACAGATATGATCTTCCAGTTATACATTCACATTACACACTTTCAGCAAAGAATACCTAAAAATCAAAGGTGGTAAAGTAGGAGATGCTGACCTTGAGAAGCCAGGTAAGTACAGAGTCTCGATATGGTACGAACTTGTCCTTATTCTTCCCACCTGATGACTGATCCGCCAGCTTCGATATCACAAGGCCAAGTGTGGTTAAGGACCTGCAGGAAAAAGACACATTCAATTAGTTCAGACATTCTCTGTTGTCATACGTAAATATCGTTCAGTAACTGTGGTCTAGTGAAGTGTTACGTATGGAGTGTCGCGCTGTATGGAGCAGAGACTTGGACACTCAGGAAGAAGGAACAGAAATACCTGGAGAGTTTTGAAATGTGGTGTTGGAGAAGAATAGAGAAGATCAGGTGGACGGATCGAGTGACCAACGAAGAAGTAATGAGGAGAGTCAACGAGCAAAGAAACATTCTGCAGGCGATTACACGAAGGAAAGCTAACTGGCTGGGACATATTATGAGAAGGAATGGATTAATGAGTGATATCATCGAAGGCCAGGTTGAAGGAAAGCGAGGACTGGGAAGAAGACTGATACAGCTAACCGACGACCTTAAACAAGGAAAGAAGATGACGTTCCAGGAATTAAAGCGAGAAGCCGAGAATAGGGACAACTGGAGAGCTCTTTTTGGGCAGAGCAATGGCCCTGTCGTAAGACAGAACACTTAATAATAATAAAACTGTGGTCTACGATGCATACAGTCTTGGAGTGCACCAACACTGATGTAACAGCCAGCTCCTCTTCCTTGTAAGGAACTGTATCTGATTTTTTGTCTTTGTTGGTCTATTATGACAGACCGTTCCTCATCCAAGAGAAAAACGCAGGACAAACTGTGGGGTCTACAGATGCAAGATATAAACATCTTGGCATGTAAAATGTCTGAAATCCTGACAGTTCCAATTCTGTCAGAGCAGGAAATTGAGCGTCACTACAACGGTTACAAACTCTGATCAATCACATTTCAGTACTGACTGTAGTCAGGAATATTTCTAGCCATGCCCGAATCACTACTCCCACGTCGTCACAAATCCAGATCAAGGGGGTGAGGGATGGTTACATCGAGCTTAGCCTTATAACAGGAGACTATAATCAGCATACCCCAAGAGCGTTTGTGGAATTTGTTACTTCACACAGAATACATTTAACACACTTACTTGTTGATATTTGAGCCTTCTTTGAGCCTATCCCCAACAGCACCAGTCTTGACGGCCCTTTCGCTTCCCGCAAGATCAACGAGAGACATCCGACTCACTTTCTCGCCAGAAACACCCGACTTAGTGTCTGTCAGAGTCTGTGTCAGCACCACTGAAAATACTGCGTGAGAACGCGATGATTCGCTGTTCATGTTGGTTGCTGCCACGGTTCTTGACTTATTGCCTTCTGCCATCAAGTTGTCGATGTCCTGCACAATAATGTCAAAGGGTATTAATAGTTTGTGTCTGTCTGTAAGATTTATGAATAATGTTTTATTATAAATGTTATAGAAAGCAAAAGGTTAGCCTGGCTTGGCCATGTTGCAAGAATGGAAGGAAATAGGGTAACTAGAAGAGTGATGGAATGGAGACCGATGGGAAGAAGGATGAGAGGGAGGCCACGGAAACGATGGATAGACGACGTGGAGGAGGAAACGTTGGTTAACATCGACCAGACTACACAGCGCAACAACCCAGAAGACGGATATCTTCATACTCACCGCTGTGAGAACCTCAAGTCTTACGATTAATGTTTTATTATAAATGTTAATAACGCTATAAGAAGAAGAAGAAGATAAATGTTGTAGACAGACAAAAACTATGTATCTACAAACATGTGTTTCAGCAGACATAACAGCATATAAAACAAGCACTTAATATATTTAACTAACAAGCAGGCACAGTCTGCACGCAATATTTTATTCTTAAATCAATTAAGTGATTAAATATAGTTAACTGGAATAAAATAAAATAAAAAATATATATTGTAGCAACTGAAGTAGTAACCATGAATATCACAAATCTGTCAGGCAATAAAGTTCATGAATACAAAATATTAAATACATAAAACTAGGTATATATAAAATTAAATTAATTACACATAAAAAAACTCCGGCAATTCTTTCCCATTCCGAACGTAACCAACAAGTTTGTAGTACTCGAAACTTAATACTTCTTTTGTTACCTGGCTCAAATCTGTCAGATTTTAATCAATACCTGAATACAACACTATTTTAAAATGTTTAAAATTCAGTCTCTAGAAAATGAATTTTTTGGTGTTTTCTTTATGTTGTACTTTCTCAGAAACACGATTACCACATAAAACAGTGCGTGCCTGAACATAAATATCCAAAACTCTTATCAAGTGTAAACAACCATATTACAATACTACTATTATCTACTATAAAAATTTCTGATTCCCCGTTGTCGTCAAGAAATGACGTCATCAAACAATGTTACGTTATATTTGTTTACTCGGCATTGTTGTACCAACACAACAATGACGAAGGGGGGATTAGTTTAGTGTCTTACTCAAGATTTTAAAACGCAACCAACTCCCCCGAAGTCAAGTGTTTTAACCCACCCTTTGGGGGGGGTTGGTTTAGTTTCTTACTCAAGATTTTAAAACGCAACCACCCCCCCCCCCGAGGAGCTCCAAAAGGAGCGCTCTGCTCCAGTTCTTGTAAAATATGAGTTAACTACTGTTAAGACCAATTTACCTGAAAAGATGTAACCGCCAGCTGTGACAGCCCATCCACGTAAGGGCCCATCACATTGTGTTCTCGTACCTTGAGTGACTGTTTGTTCGCTTTGGGGTCCAACAAATCATGCACCTAAAAAATTAAAAAGTACAAAATATACCGACTCAACTGCAACCCAACACTTTACTCAGTACCAACACAAAAAAATCTCCCAGGAAACCATCAACGCATTTAGTCACTGTGGAAATGTCTTGATTTCATAAAGGAAAACACTGAATAAATCCTCACCTTTTCATTATATATTTCCATGTAGCTGACTTCCACTTTGTACGTGAGCTCCAAACTCTGCTGCTTCGCTATTAGGTCAAAGAGCGAGTCGCACAGCCTAGGAATAATGCCCTTGTTGTCCTGACCGCCCATCATCGAGTAAGATTTTCCTGAACCTGTAACAAATAAGTCGAGAAGAATGAGATGGGCTGGGCATGTAGCGCGCATGGATGGGACAAGAGGTGTGCACCGGGAACTGGTTGGGAAGTCTGAGGGGAAGAGACCGCTGGGGAGACCTAGACGTAGATGGGAGGATAATCTCAGGCGGGATCTATGGGAGATAGGAGTTGAAGGAGACTGGATTTTGTTGGCCCAGGACAGGGTCCGGTGGAGGGCTTTGGTTAATTCGGTGATGAACCTTCGGGTTCCGTAAGCCATCTGGTTGGTTGGGTCCACTATTTGGGAAGCCTGAGGGGAACAGATCGCTTTGGAGACCTAGACGTAGATGGGAGGATAATCTCAGGCGGGATCTATGGGAGATAGGAGTTGAAGGAGACTGGATTTTGTTGGCCCAGGACAGGGTCCGGTGGAGGGCTTTGGTTGATTCGGTGATAAACCTTCGAGATCCGTAAGCCATCTGGTTGGTTGGGTCCACTATTTGGGAAGCCTGAGGGGAAGAGACCTCTGGGGGGATCAGGCGGGATCTATGGGAGATAGGAGCTGAATGAGACTGGATTTTGTTGGCCCAGGACAGGGTCTGATGGAGGGCATTGGTGAGTTTGGTGATGAACCTTCGGGTTCGGTAAGCCATCTAGTTAGCTAGTTAGTAACAAATTACATCACATTTTCAAGTAAACCTGTTGTAACTGGCAAAGGTAAAGCTGCTATCCAAACTGCCTAAATATAAATAAAGAATACATGGAGGTACAAAGACGTGAATTCTCTACAGCTCAATATTTGATACGAATGAATGCTCATCTCCTGTTATTTCGTGTTTTGTACAAAACTCCTGGAAAAGAGCCATGTTCACTCTCTGTGGTAAAGAGAGGAAAACAGACCACAACGAGCTATTTACAATCCCTTGAATGCTCGCAATTCACGACCATCTGCCATTTTTTTTAAATAAGACCACAACGAGCTATTTACAATCCCTTCAATGTTCACAATTCACGACCACCTGCCAATTTTTTGAAATACTACCTCTGCTTTTGAAACTGTCAACAAATAACCTAAGACTCAATTATCAAATCCGTCGGATAGTTTTTGGGAGATAAAACACACGGCAGGACAACCTTGTCTTTATGCGTTCATGTCATGTATTCGATGCACAAACACACAAAACAAAATTCAAGGGCACTGTTATCTGTATTGTGCGGTATGACAAGGCTGTTACATCGACTGACGTATACAGACGCTTACGTGTTCAGTAGAATGAGGTTAAAGTTTAAGGCACTCCACCTCATAATTAAAACACCACGATACTGACGTCTTACCTTGAATACATATGACGAGGAATATTGGAATTCAACAACTTCTTTATAACGCTAGAGACCTTACAACGAAGTTGAAATTAAAACCGGAATTGAAAAGGAACTGTCTTTATAGCAAAATGCATCTGATCCATAAATACAGAACGAAACCGCCAACATCTGCGACGTAAACTGAGAGCAAAACTTGAATCTAACTGAATGTTTATCGTCTACTCTTCAATAACTGTTCCAGTATTCTGTTTCTTGGAATTTGTCAATGAAAGAATATTACAATCTCAAATAAGACAAAAGCAAAACCTCCCACATATGTGCAGAATACTTTACGATTATTAGTAAACCTGACCCAGATTTAAAATGGGTGTTTCCGATTAAAAATCAATAGCGTTGCCTTTACGCTATCCTGTCACGAAAAAACATACAGATAAAAACAATAACAACTGACAGTTGACCAAACTACTTCATTATAATCAATTATGGTCTTCACTAGGTCAGAATCCATCGATTTATCACCGCTAATCGAAACTGGGGCATAGCCTCAATTCCATCCTCTATGAGATATTTCGAACTGTGGGACGAATTAGTAGTAAACAGGACGACGGGACAACCCAATGCAGCAGGTGAGGAAACAGATGATGACAAAAGGGAAGGGAAGCTGGGCGTGGCCCGATTCTGTTAAAATACGATCACTGTGCCAGCCTCAACTTGGAAAATGATTCCATTTCACAATCATGGAAAGAAAAAGAACTATGAAGCTCATTATTTGTAAATGAAATAAAATACATAAACAAAAGTACATCTCACATCAAGACATTCAGGTAAAGTTGTTTATTCCCAATTTCACCGATTCCGAACGAATTTACAATCTATTTTAGTATTTAGTTAGGAGGAATAAATCCTTTGAAAGTGTGACGAAGTTCATGAATTTGAATAGACTGGATTTTGTTGGCCCATGACAGGGTCCGGTGGAGGACTTTGGTTAATTCGGTGATGAACCTTCGAGATCCCTAAACCGTCCAATTAGTTAGTTTAGTGGAGCAGATGCTTGTGTCTTGGAGTTAAATTCCATGGACTAGGCAAAATGTTTCGGTTGTGACATCCACATGAAAGAGCCGTGGCCAAACACAGCACAAACCTGGAGCATCGAAATATTCCCTGACTGCAGCATCAGCTCCGCTAAACCCGGACACTCGGGTCGGATGATCAAGGAGGTTACCGAGATTGAGCTACAGACTAAGAACGACTTATCTCGTCTGCTATAGCAGTTCTTAATAGAGCCTGATGCTAGGCCAGTGCACATGTTTTTATTGTATTTTTACTTTTATTGTACTTTTTATTATCTTTCTTTGTTCCTGCCTCAACTTTCAAGTTTCTATGACCCCCCCCCCACCGCCATAATCCATCGGTGTTTTAAAAAAATGTAACAATGCAACTTTTTATTTAAATTAATGTTTTATTGATATTGGTAATTTATTCTTGTGTTCGGAGCAAATACCACTGTAAAATATATCTGCAAATTAAAATGTATGTCTTCGCATGAGAATTTATTAGATTGTTCGTAGTAATTATTATTATGATAAGTACCCCATTAACCTCTCATCTATGGTCTGCTATTTTTTTTAGTGTTCTGTCTGACGACAGGTCCATATGAACAGGATCCTTGCATCCTTTTCTCGGACTGGGACCTGTTCATATACGTTCTTGGCAGATGATCCAGAAGTGGTTTGCCATTGCCTTCTTCTGTGTGTGAATGGAGTAATTGTTGGGAAGCCCCCGGAGGAAAACTCCGTGTTGCCTAGACCACGGCCTTTCCCCAAGACAAGTTATAAATTCGGGCACCGCCGGGAATCGAACCCGAGACCCCCAAAAAGTTGTACATATGTTGACGTTTTTGGAGCATGAACGTATGAGCTATGTTACGAGGACGATTAAGCCAGAATTGTATACGCGTGTACAAGTGGACACTACAATTATTTGTTTATTTATAGCTTAATTAACGTCATTATCTAAGGCTATTTCGAATCGAATGATAAGATTACTAAAGAATAACAAACTACAATCAACACGAATCGATTCTGAAGGTATCTGACGGTGTATTGAAATAGAGATTACAGAGATTCTGGACTACGTACAGCGGCCTGCATTCCAAACACACACAAACCCTTCCTTACACCTGAAGACAAGGCAGATCTGGTGTTCGGAACGCGTGTTTATAGAATGTCAGATGATCGACGGAGTCCAAAACCTCAGAAATCCAGACTGAAAAGGAAACGGGACTTAGCCTAAATTACGACATCCCAACATTTAACTGAGGAAAACCACGAAAAACGTCAGTCAGCACAACCTGTGTCTGAACAGAAATCTGACCTCGGGACCTCCGAACACGAACCACTCGGCCGCGATTTTCGGTAGTAGACAGTATAAAATGATTTAACCTTTTAAAGTCCAGTGGTAACTATGTGTACCAGCTGCTGTAACAGTAATTATGGGTGTCGTATGATTATCAATGTAAACATGGATTATTTATATATTTATTTTCACAGTCTAGCCACAAACGTTGTAATTAAATGATGTTGTTAAAATTATATAATATTAATTAATGTTTAATTATTATCATGAAAATGATCATCTTGGTATGTTTCGTTATATTTTACTTTTATATTTCTATTTATTTATTTCCTATGTCAATTCCATACTCATTTTCATAATAATTAAATATTAATTCCACGGAAAATAAACGTCTGACTATAAACTCATCATGAAATTGGAAAATCTACAAACAAACCAAAGATCAATATAATACATTGCATAAAAATATCTAATAATTTTAAAATATTATAAAATTGATACAAACCTGAAGATGATGTCTTATCCATCGAAACATGTCGTAAAAAAGCGCCAAAATATAATATTTTATACTACAAAATAATGTTTTAATATTATATAATTTTAACAACATCATTTAATTACAACGTTTGTGTATAGACTGTGAAAATAAATATATATTTAATCAACACAAACATGACGCATTTAAGCTACAAAATGGATTATTTAGTAGGATTTGAGGTTTTCACATCTGTGAGTCTTGTAGAATAAACGGGAAACACGAAAAAGTACAGAAATAAACACTGACGGCGATGCCTAAACAGACGGCAGGGTCATGAAGATCTTTGACCAAACCCCGAAGCTACAGAGATCAGCACACCAGATTTTACAGTTACAGGCCTACAAGAGTTGTAGGGTGTTCTGAAACAGGGCAAGTTCTCCTTTCAGTTTTTCCTACTGCTAAGAAAATTGTTGTTTTATAATACATTTTAGGGAATCCGGGTCACGATTAAGCACCATCTTTTTTTTTATACAGTTTGGTCCATGTTTGGAGAAAATAATCACGCAAGCAGCTGGAAGTTTTAATCTTTTTCTTATCACGTTTCTTTTCTCCTGCACATTAAAGTAAAAACACTACGAAAACGTACTTTCTGTCTATATTTCGTTAAATATTCACCACGCAGAGAAAATGTTTCAGATGAAAGTTGTGCACCTTAACAAAATATATTATATATTAATTAAATCTTGTCCGTCTAATCACAATAAATTCTTATTAAATATTAAAATATTACAATAATTAACATTTAAAATATTTAAAATATTAAATGATGTTCTTTATCGAAATATTCGATTTACATTAGACC